CAGGCCCGACGACACCCTGACGACACACGATGTCAGAACGAAGTCAGAAGGAAGTCAGACGATGTCAGGCCATCACTACGGGCAGGCTCTCCTTTCAACACCAATCTCGGAGATTGCACTTCCTCCCATTCCTTTCTCTCAACACACGCCCACGTGTTTCGCAGATGCACGCGAAAGGGTACCCTTCTTTCCTTTCCTCCCCTATCTTTTTTCCATTCAAACCCGGCCCAATGTTACAAACCTACAGCGGACACACCGCCCCCCTAACCTATACTTACAGCGGACACACCGCCACTTATAACCTCAACTGCGGTCTCTCACAGCCATCTATAGATCGAATTCGCCTGCAGCGGGTACACCGCCCAACAAACGCTTTTCACCCTGTTCATATAGGGCTCTCTGTCTGTGTCTGTATGTGTGCGTAATGATGTTCACGTCTATAGAATTTCTTTTATGTTTGCAACAGCCCACAAAAAACAAACTACAGAATGAAATATCTTATGAAACTTTGCCCACTCAACTAACCCTCAGCAATTTCATATCAAGGGGCTGTAATGTTGACATTACGCTGTAGACTGCTGATTCCAGCGTTTTCATCAAATCCACACACAAAAACCTTAAACAAATCAACTTTTTCATGACATTTTTAAGAAAACCATGAAAAAAACCTTGAAAAAATTAGGTTTTTGTAAGTAGGCTAAGTGCGCCCCTAAGTAGAATAACTAGGTTTTCGCTTCCGTACTATTCCGACTTATAACTGACTTATAAATGACTTATTATTTTTGTATATACACTGTATCTAGCGTAAGTCTGGCCGAATACTTATGGACACTTAACCCATTTACCATCACATATAACCTTACATATCCACACATATAACCTTACATATCCAAACATATATCTACGATACGTAAGGCGGACTTTGTGGTAGTATTGTTGTACGGCCCTCCTTGGTGAGGGTGGGTGCGTCACGCTCCACCTCGCAAAGTCTCGGGTCCATAAATCTTAGCGATTTCCTCTAACAGTAACTCTTTAGATCTTGAACACGTTGATTCTCTACCATTACTACGTGAAATTCAACCATTATACTCTACCCTTATTATGGTGCTACTCCACCTCAAAGTCTACTCTTATTTTTGTTGTGTTTGTTGCGAGTCTACCCTTATTCTTGTTGAGAGTCTAGCCTTATTTTTGTTGAGAGTTTACCCTTACTTTGTCGCACATAACTGTGGTAAATACCATTTGTTTGCAGCACCACTTCCGATTTGTGCCCGTCACCTGATCGGTGCTCACCTGAACTTGCTTCTTTGCTTCCGCTGTGCTGTTTAAGTTAAATCAGATGTTTTGTCATTTGTTTGCTAACTTATTTAGCTTATTTTGGGTGGGAGGTTTCAAAAAACACAGCACTGTCGTCGTGCTATGCAACCACGAATTGAAGACAAACCGAAGACAAACAAAAGCAATGCTCTGTGGCCACTGTTTTTCTCGACCACCATGGTGACAGCCACTAGCGTCTCAGGCGCAATCCCCCAAAGCGCTGAAGCAAATGGCTGCTTCTTTCAGTGACCTTTCAGGTCACTTGTTGGCGACATCGACATCATCTAACCTACATCTACTTTCCGGCTGGCTTTCCCTGGATGATCAAATTGCATCTTTTGACCAGGTAGGGCCTGCACTGGAAACCCTTACGCTGCACACCTTGCAAAGCTCGATGCACTAAACCTTGGCGAGTTTCGCCGGTTTGTAAATCTCGACAGAGTGCTTGAGCAAGAGTAACGGACCCAATGGTAGATCCAACGAAAGGAAGCTTGGTAGCAGCATCTAAGAAACCAGACATATCTGCCGCAGCGGCCTTTGCCCACTGAGCAGCATCTTAGAAAACATCAACGCTATGGCAAAGAGACCCTAGCTTGCTCACACTGTTTTTGGCACTAGTGAAGCCACTCTCGCCCTGGGAGCACAGAACGAAGAGCTGGGCAGTGCGTGGGTCTGTACAAGCTTTGGAAACCATCACTGGCTCAATGTCCTCGCTCTCAAACATCTTCACGAGATCATAGTCTTTGGCAAGTCCATCAAGAGTGGTTTTGGTGAGTGCTTCAACCTTGGTCATATCCTCGCGAATCACATTCACCATACTCTTGAAAATGCCGTTCAAACGCTCCTTGCAATTCATGAAGACCTTCGTGCCCGGCTTGTACTTGACGTGTTCCAAGCATGTGTCAATTGAGACAAGGCATTTGAACAACATTTGCAAAGGTTCGAACCCATTCTGCAGCATGAACTGCATTGCTGTCTTCTCGAGCAATTCCTTGCCTTCCTTTTGGGCAGTGGGGAGGTTGTCTGCAACCGTAGGCAACTTGGACGCCTGCTCCACAACCTCCTCCAAGTAGAGAATCTTCTTTGCCAGAGGTAGAAGAGACGAACCGAAGCATACCGCAGAACAAGGCAGAGACACCTCAGCGCCAGAAGCATCCTTAACCTGCATCACTTGCTTGTTCTCGTCCACCTTCTCAAAGAAGAGCTGGAAAATGCGGGAGTACATGTCGCCCTGGACCTCAACCTCGTTTGCATCTCCAAACTCTCCCACCACTTTCTTCGATAGCAATCCATTCACGTCCACCTCATCCATGCCGCAGAGGCAAATGAACTCCGCCACAAGCTTTTCCGAATTCTTGGCAAGAACAGCTTGAGCACCGAGACGAACTTTCTCCCTCAAACGCTCCTCAGTTGATCATGGTTAATAATGTAATATCATCGAATCATATCATATCACATTTATATTTGCCAGCATATTTTTTAATATCGTGGTCATATTATCGTAGTCTATAGTCTATAGTAGTCATAGTGTCATAATCATCATCATTGATCGTTTCGTCTGCAGCTAAGTTGAACAGAAAAAGGCCCAACCGACGAGAAACACATAGGTTCAAGTTCAAGTCTTTACCGAGTTTCTGCAAGCACCCTGACGGAAGCCACAAGCTTACCAATTTGGAGCAGCATGGCATCATTTGACAAGTGAGACATGAAGTCTTCCAAGGCCTCATTCAGTAGCCCAGAAGGAACGATCTCCTTTGGCTTGGCTACCAAAGAGACCAGGCTCGGGTAGGCGGCCTTGAAGCTGGCGTAGAAAGTCTTGTTGTCATTCATGACCACCTCGAATTTGGAATAGCGCTTTTCGCCCAAAGCTTTGAGAAGAACCGTCTTGGAACATGGCAAGAAGCTTGTGCCTGCCAAATCATTCAAGCGATTGCTCAACGCCATGACGGCATCAGCGCTCGGATCCACCTTGCCCTCAATAAGAGCATCGAAGGCTTGCTCAATGAAGGACCCATGCTTCCTCGCGAACTTGATGGATGTGGCAGAGTAAAGCGCGCTCACGACCTCAAGCATTTTGCTTTCAAGCTTCCTGATATCGTCCTCCCTTTCGGCCTTCAGCCGAGCAGACGCATTCTCCTCTAGCAAGCAAACTTTCTGCGCCAACTCCGCCAGCTTGTTGTTGTTTGGGAGGACAAATTCCACATCAATTCCACGCTCTCCATTGGCTGTCTCACCACTGGGTTTGTCTTTGAGAAGCAAATCAGCAGTATAGGTTTTCAAGCCATCACAAATCTCCAGGGCTACGTCAATATCACCACTCAAGCCCTTGTCAAAGTAGCTGGCAATCATATCAGCTGCAGACTGCTGGATAAACATCCCCACAGGAAACAGCGTCAAGGCATCGTGAAAGGTGCCCTTGTCCTTGGACTGGATCAAAGTGGAACGAGCTTCCTTGATTTGGTCAATGCTGTCTTGACTCAAGGATTCATTAGCTGGCTTCAGCACGTGCTGGCAAAGCAGGGCAAGCTTTAGCATTTGATCCTTGGCCTGAGCAGCTGACTCTTGCCAATCCTTGGAGATATTTGAACCAAAGAAGTTCTCAATTCAGTCGTGGACCTGCTTCGTGAGTGACATCCCCAGCTTGGACGTAAGTGCCTTCTTCTCCTCCTCATACTTTTTGACCGCATCCTTGTCATCAGGTGACCCATCAAACGGCTTCTGCTCAATCTTCAATTCTTGCATCAGCATAGTCTTCAAAGAAGATGTCATAGACGATGCCTGGAAATCAAAGATCTCACTCGTGTTTTGCGCGTCAAAGATCTTCGCAAGGCCGGTGTCAATGTCCAAGTCGCGAAGGTAGGCTGTCCAGTCCGAAGCCTTGGCCAACTCCTTCAACTTGCCAATCTTGTCAGCACTCGAAGGAATCACCATACTCTCCAAACGAGCAGCTTCCATGGTTTGCTGTAGAGTCTGCGATGAAGCCTCATTGTCGTGAAGTGCGGCAACGAATGAAGCAATGGCAGAGGCTTGCTTTTCTGCTTGAATCGTTCGTCTGAGCAATTCAGTGCCAACTGCGTTGGCACCTTGTTGCGTGGCTTCCCGGTAGAGCTTCTGCATGGACTCCGTGTTGCGAGCTGAAATCTTGTCCAGCACTGATTGGGCTTTGCCATAGTTCACAGACAGGAAGCTAGCTTCGTTGGACACACTGGTCTTGAGGTCCTCAACCTGTTGAATAGCCCTCTCTGTGATGTCAAAGTCCCGAGAATACTCAGATGCTTTTCCCTTCACCTAATCTGATCAAATGCCCGCTAGCAACCCCCCTACCTGAATTGCCCTCTCCACCACCAGCAGCCCCACAGTAAACCATAAAAGATCTTGGACTACGGGCCACACCACCCCAAAAAAAGAAACATCTCATATAGCCATCATCAAAACAAGCCACTGCCTTGACGGCGCTGAGATTGCTGTTAAACATCCAGCTAGAAGAGAATGCACTTCGTGATGCACTGGCAGCACTGTCACCTGCCGCAGAAGCATTGTCGTTTGAATCTTGGCCTCCTGAAGCAGTGGACCTCTGGCCATCTTTAGCCAATCTTTGCCGCTTCGGTTTGGGATCCTTTTGTCTGTCATCAGAACGATTCCGATCACCTGCCTGGCCACTGCCCTCGGCACCGACTATGAAGGAGACCCCCCAAAGATCTGCAAAGGATTCCTCGCCCTCCTCGGTCTGTAGCTTGATCTTCTTGGAACACTTCAGTTGCATAGTGCCAGGATCGTCCTCATCGGTCTCAACAGTTGGCTTCACCTGGAAGGGCATGGTTGGGAGTAGCATGGTCAAACAAACAAATTGGTATATATCTATAGTGTAGTATTAAATTATATAATATATATATAATATAAAAGCACAACATATATATTATATATTATATATATAGTAGTCATAACAGTATAACTACCCAATCTACCAATTGAAAAGATTCGCAACGGCATCCTTTCAAAACCTGCCAACCCATGGTCTTTGTTTCCCAGCGCCTGATTGGACAAAGCATTCCAAGCTGCATCAGCATCTGCCTTGTCATCACCGCTACAAACATCATGTCGACGAACAGCGCTGTGGCTGGAGTCTTCGTAGACGTCGATTGCTCCAAGGATCCACTTGTCTCTGAGCATTCCTGAAATTGGTTTGTTCATATGAACAATGGTCGTAGCTTTACTTTTCTTCCACAAGCTCTCCTCGCCATGCTTCTGCAGGAGCTCTTTGGTCCATAGGTATCCTTTGAGCTGCCTCGTGGTCAACGAGTTCTTGGTCTCAGCCTCCACAGAGTTCGAATTGTGTCGAAAGCGCTTGCCTTCCCGGCGGTTGCTTTCCCATTCATCGAGATCTTTGGTGTAGGCCTCGAAGTTGCTCTCGACCTGTAGGTGCACCAAGAGATCCTTCCGGCTCATTTCTTTGTACTTTGGGTGGCTTTTGCAGAAACTGCTACAAGGAACGCACTCAAGCATAGAACCAAGCTGCTTGTGAGAAGATCCCCAGACTTGGGGTTCTTAACCATAGGATTCGGTGTCCGTTCGAAATTCCGGCGGCACTTCTTGCAACTGCCTCCACACGGCATGGAAAGCGCAAGGAAAATATCTGGGATTCGAATTTGCTTCACACAAAATGAGAGCCAGTACGTACTGAGGGGATCTCGCATTCGATGACACCAAAATGCGTTTGCCCAAACACATTTGAATGCTACATCTCTGCAAATCACTGTCCACTTGCTCACGTGGTCACAAAGAATTCTAAAAAAAACAGCACAGCATTGCAGGATCGCCACAAAACACATTTGAGTGTCACTCGATGTACATCGGACTGAGTTGTGCGATGTGCTCCGAACATAATTTCTCTCATCCATCGAGCCAGGTTGGTTGGCTCCTCTCTTCCAAAAAAACGTGCAAAGCCAGGCTGGACAGGTTCATCAGATTTCATTCGTCGACAAACGGCGTGGCCACAAAAAAACTGAAAGGATTCAATGATTGTGACTGCACCAAAACTCTAAACCGATAACTCTGTTTAAAGAAACATATGAAGGTCGATGAAGGTTAAGTTCTACAACTGTTCAATTTGATTCCCTAACAATGTGGAACGAGGTGCACGCAAAATGATCGACATATATGTGACATATTATATTCAGTGCAGCTAGCCTAGACTTTACAGAATACTGAGTTTGTACTCAGTGGCCCGCGGACCGGTTCACTCAGATTCAAAGAACTGGGCATTCATGCGGTTCAGCATGTTTGAACGGCGTGTCCGGCGTCTCTCATCACGGGCATGGCGGACAGCTGCCTGAATCATAGGTTCTGGAAATCCCCGCTCTCTCAAGTGAGATTCCATGAAGATTGGCAAAGCGGTACTCGGCTCAAAAAAGGATGCATTGTGCTCCTTCATCTCGAACCATTCCTGGTAAATCTCGTCCTCCATCAGTTCCAGCTTCTCCGACATGGGAAGCAGGTTGGCTTGCTGCTTCGTGAGAGGGACGATGTAGTCAAAGCTCATGAAAATGCCATCCTCGGTGGTGAAGAAATTCTGTGAATCAGGATCAGGATTCTGATTCCGCATCTCAGCAGCAGGCCTTTTGGAAGGACGACCAGAAGGTCGCTTCTTTGGGCTTGTGGTGGAGGACGCTGCCTTTTGCATCGATGCTCGAGATGCGGCTGGCTTCTTGCAAGGTCCCTTGGGCTTGGCATGTTGCTTGGGAACCTTCTTAGACTTGGATCCCTTGGCTCCTCCACCTTTGGTCTTGCTTCCAGGCGAGGCAGGAAGAGGTTCCATGCTTCCCCCAGCGCTTGCTCCACCTTTGGCAATGCCTCCTTTGGAGACAGAAGGTGGTCCGGCCTCCACTGGTAGTGATGTCCCCTCCGTAGCCAAAGCGAATTTGAAAGGGGATGATGTCGAGTCTGGACTTGCACTTTTCGAAGATCCTTGCGTGGCTGCCACTGGCAACGGGCTTCCGGGAGGTGACGCTCCCAAGATGAGAGTAGTTGCCTGGGATGCTGATGCCATGAGAAGAAATCGGGCGAAGTGCAAATCTGCAATGCTGCTCAATCAGTCTGGGTGATGGCCGCGGTCCAAGTACAAATCGAAGCTTGACATAATGTCGGAATGCATCCAAAGAATGTCCGTCAAAGCATACAAAACTGGCGTCTGTGACTCAAGAAAAGTCAACCATTCGGGTGTGAAAATAAGGGTTGACCCTTGGGTGTGAGAATAAGGGTTGACTATCGGAATACGCTTGGGGGAAGCTCGAGTCTACCCTTATTTCTCCACCCAAGAGTCAACCCTTATTTCCGGCTTAAGGGTAGACTTTCCTGATCAGAAAGTCGGTCCCTTTTTTGGCTTTGTGAAGGCCTTCTTCTATCTTTTTATCTTATTTTTTAGAAATATATTATCATATCTCTCCACCATCTTGCTCAACTTCATCCGCTTTCTTGTTTTCAAATGCCCAGATCAAATCAAGTAAGCTGTTGTCACGCACTTGCATCAAGCCCTTCATCAGGCTTGTGAATCTGAATTCAGAGATGGCGCAGGGCAACATCAAAGTCCTTCAAACCCTCCCAAAACACACAAAGTCAAATCTAGAGAAAACATCTCAAACAAACAATATGCTGCTAGATCTTGCTAGCATGGTCTTAATAACAAACCAAACCTTGGGCACAAACAACACAAAAGTCGTTGCAGAAAAGGTGCAGAAGTTCAATTAGACACAGAGTTGGATTCATGAACGAACCTTGATGCCCAGCTTTGTTCTTAGCTCTTTGCTAAGGTTGTTGTGGTCCATGGCTGTGCTACCAACCCCTAGACAAAGCCATTCCACTAGCTGATCAACCCTAGTCTCTGTATCACTGTTTGCGCCAATGATACAATGGCACTCTTTGTGCTGGGAGCACAACGCCTTGTACGTGGCTGACTTCGAATTCGAAAGCAAAGATATCTTTCCCACCAATGCGCCAACGCTTTTCGATGGTTGGAAAAGCCGAACATCATAAAGGACGTTCCCGTGCCTGAAGTTCTTGTAGGCACGAAGAACCAAGGACGATCCATCAGGAAGCTGCTTCAAGGTAGTGTTCACTATAGAAGGCACTGTCGGTGTAGGCAATGATGTTGAACTTGCACTTGCACCTGCGCTCGCTTCTTGCTGTGATGACGTCAGCAAATCGAGCACATCACTCCTTTGCCTCATTTGGTTTTGCTGTTGATCACTGCCAGGGATATCAGAATCATTGACACTGACGGAAGTGGCCGTGTCTTTGTCCGCATCTGTAAATGTGGATATTTCAGCTGAGACTTCCTCATCTGACTCATCAAAGTCACACTCGATCTCTACCTTACTCGAATGCTGCTCTTGGCATGCACCAACAGCTTCCAACAACGATTTTGCTGCTTGATGGTCCAGGGTTTCAGCAACACTTGCATCTCCCACAGCTTTGATCAAAGCGCGACTCTGATTCTCCTTTGGCAAAAGGAGATCCTCTGCTGGAAAGAAAGAGGACGTGTCGACAATCTCGTTCTCGCTGCATTGTTCTGCCAGGAACTCTTCAACGATAGCTTTCCTGATCTTCGCGCTTGACTTGGGGATTGCCGTCGATGATTTGCAGGAGTTTTTCTTGGAATCCTTGCATGCATCAACACACACCAGGTCAAGTAAATCCACAGCAGAGCTGTGCTTCACTTTGGATTTCTTTGGAGGAGGAAGCTTGTTCACGCCAGGCTCGCAAGGAACCACCGTCTCTTCATTCATTTTGATGCATATTGGCAGGAAACTACCCCAGATTCCGATGACCTTCACCCGGCTCAAGGTAATGTTTTCGAAAGCCAGGCGCTCAATTCTAACTTCCTCTGGTTGCACATCCAAAGCATCACCACAGCTACAAACAATGTGCACAGCAAACTCGTCTTGGTTCATGTGCTGCAATGGTCCCACTGGCAAAGAATGTGATGCGAACGGAACCGATGATGGAATGTAAGGCAACGATTGCAAATCAAGCACAATAGAATCTTCCTCAGCTACCACAATTATTTGGCACAAAGCAAAGACTTGTCTGGCTTGATGAGGGCCACTGACGGCAGCTGGCGCAAGCAACCAAGCATAAGTATCTCTTTCAATCTTGTCAGATCCGACAATGCTGCAACAAAGGAGTATGGGCTCTTTTGCAGCATCACTTATAGGCCCACATGCTGAAACCAAAGAGACGAAGGGTTGCTTGATACGGGAAACAAAAGCAGTGTAGTGCATATCATTAGACAACCTGCAGAAGTTTCCACACCACCCTTCATAGCGAACTGTCTTGGGAAAGGCAAAGTCAGCAGGCGCAATTGCAAACCTTTGTGATTGTTTGTCGAAGTTTGCCAAAGAATCTGCCCATCTGATACCCCTTTTGACGTTGTCGCGCCAAGACCTTTCCAACAAGGACTCTGATAGGACACTGGCTTCGCTTGCCTCATTCCAAGCAAATCTGCAGCGGAGGAACTTGCTTGAGACATCTCGGCCAATGTGTTGTGGATGCTGTTGCACAGGACAGGTAGGTCAGCATCTCTCTCCAAAACCTCTGCACTCAATATCCAAGGATTCATCGGCCATGCTGTCCCATTCGCAGATGGCTGCTGCGGCAAGCAAATGACAGATTCATCCACAGCTGCTCGGCCTGAAGCCACATGCTGACACGTCTCTTTCTGGTCCTGCAATGCTGAATTGCCCTGCTGCTGGGTGCAGTGCTGGATGGTTGAAGAGGCTTTGGACGCTCTTTTGTAGCTTGCTTCCAACTCAGACTGCTTTGAAAGCTCTTCGTAGTACGCTTTCCTGTCTTCATTCAACTTGGAAAACTCACTTTTGAGCTCTCTCCAGAATTCTTTTGATGCTGGGTTGCAAACACCATCCTTTCCAAGCAGTGCTTGTTTGGATTTAATCCAGTCATCACGAAAGAACATGTAGGCTGGTTTTTCCGGATTTGCCTCTCCTTGGCTTGGACGAGAATGCCGCTGGTACTGCTTTGTTCTGGACGCTTGCTCCCATGTTCTTGTGGCTGAATGTGAGATAGTGCCTCTTGTTGGGCATCTCGCTTGAGACAGCCAAACTCTTGATTGATGTGCTTGGCGACAATCGTAGAAAAAGGTCTGTCTGCCCAGTGTTTGGACAAGGCATGCTTGCACTCCACGTCTGCAATGGAAGTTGAAATCATTCGTGCAACGCCCGTAAAGAAATCCTGCCATGTCCTCAGCACGGTAAGAGATGTACCAATGTCAGAAATCTCCAATGACTTGACCCTAGGCCCTAGGCACACAAAATATGGCGCCCCACACACACACGCAATTTGATATATTATAATATAATAATATATACGTAAAAATGCTAAATGCAGGCATAGTATCCTAACATATCATATCATCATTTAGTCATAGTCACAGTTTACATGTATTTTCTATTATTAGATAGATTTAGTTTAAACTATATAATACAATATATATATATATTATATACTGTTGGACTATTATATAAATAGAGTTGGAGTATCAATCTGAATATAACATTCTGATCGAATCGTATGCAGCACGTTGCATCATTTGCTGAGACCCCACTAAGGGCTGAGCATACGCAGAAATAGTTCTTTCAAACACGATGTTGTTTGGAATTATACCATTGTGTGACCTGATTCTTCTAAGAAGAATCTACTAGGCCCGACCGTACACTCGCAAAGCGGTTGCAAAACATGCGAACCAAGCTTCTCATTTTTCAAACAGGTTGATGTCACATTCAGCTTCTTCAGTTCACGTGCCAAGCCAGGACGTACGCAACAAGAGCTCACACGATCCCAACGTGAAAGAATAGACTGTTGGACTGCTGGGTCAGCCTGTGGATCAGCCACAACTACCAAGGGCCACGGGAAGTGTTGCCAATAATTGACATGCCTGTGGTAGATCAAAGCTGAGAGATTTAGCAATATGTGTCTCACATACTCTACCTGCGCAGGAAATGAACTGAACCAGTCTGTGGAAGATCTGCAACTAACTCCCCAAATGAATCTCATGCGACCCCTGCCAGAAGGGTCAACCAACGAATGGGCAATGTTCTGCAGTACGGCATGTACATCACTCTTGCAAGGATTGTAAAGCAGAAACAATGGAATGGTCTCGCCTTTCTTGACTCTGTTCAAGTTCTTCATCCAAAACTCTGTCAAACAGCGCAAAGACTCACCGACAACGAGAAGCACCCGCATAGCAAATTGAGACTCTGAACAGTTCAGAAATTGCTTGCTTCCCAGGTAGCGTTTTCCCTGCACTTGATGAAAGAAAAGACTTTCAACCATCCTGCAATCTGCCTGCTCACTCTCGGTCGTTTCACTTTGAAACTGCAAAGCATTGAAAGCAATGTCAAAGATCCCAGGGAGAAATGCATTGATGAGGATTCCAACCGCAACAAAGTCAAGTGGTTTCCAGAGTTTCGTCCACTTGTTTGAGGGGTTGGAGAGGACGTCAACAGCAAATCTATCAGTGCTTTACTCATTTTGGAAGCACAATCGCCGCGGGATTGACAGTGACGATTTTCTGATTCCTCAGAGCAGTAATTGCAATAGTGCTCAGGTGGGCCAGACGCCCTGCCGTTCCACATGTCCCGAAAAGCCCGAATGTGCCTGTCAAAAGCTGTAGCTCGTTTGGATCCTTCCTGCTGCTGCTGGTGGTGTGATGCTACCAGGTAGTCTACGATTTCAGTCATGAGAGGATCTGGTTGAAGGGCTTGCGTGTCACTGAACTCATGTACTTCCAGATGTTCCAATATCCACTCTTTCAGAGCCAGTTGAAGGCGAAGAACATAACCAAGATTGGCCAGAAATACGCTAAGCTGGTACAACTTTGAAAGCAAATTCCCTTGGATCAAACTCATCATTGACACCGTGATCAAATGGGTTGCATGGTTTTGGCATCTGACTGCATCCACGAACACACCACCCTTGCCTGGATTGTACTTGTCCTGTGTCAAGCAAAACGCATGAAATCGCTCGTCGCTGTACGCGCCGTCAACCTCGTGCAAATGGCATGGAATTTTGGCAAGGCTGAACATCTCGGTCAGAAGTTGGTCCATGAACGCGTAACTGGGGTGGAAATGGATACCCTTGTACAAGTTCTTGGCCGATGCACTGATCATTGGTATAGGAGGAGATGCCTTTGTAGGGCCCCCAGTGCGACAATAGTTGTTAATGGTACTATAGACTAGTATTATTAAGTATGAAGTTATAGTCATAGTCATAGGTAGCTACAAGACATAGTGAGGTGATATGCTTCGAGAAAAAACACGTACTTTGAAAACGCGTTTATTGATCTCCATTTAAAGAACTACAAAACTTCTGGCAACATCCATGTTGCCACTGAAAACTCAATGGCGCAACTGGCCCATGTCAGTCTGATCTGCGTGCGCACAACCATCATTGACCACGTCGATCGGACTGGCGCATTCGTCCCACCAGGAGAAAGTCTGGTTGACACCGTTGCCTCATCCCACTTCCTGTGCCTCAAGAACACAGCGCAATCGAGGTGAAGGTGAAAGTCGTTCGCAGCCTGTATGCTGTATTCTGTACTATGTTTTCTGATGTTTTTTGTATTGTCTTATGTTTGTGCCAATTATGTTTGTATGTTGTATATTATACTATTTATACTACAGTATATACAGTTTAAATATACTGACTGACACTACGTTGCCTGGTTTGTGATTCTGATTGCTCAAAACAGTCCCGTAACAATGCCCTGGAGCAAAACCAATCACATTCCTAGAGGTAAATCAATCAAAACCCCTTGCATGGGAATTACAAAAGAAACAGAAAAAGATAGAAAAAGACAAGATCGCTGTGTTGCAAAAGTGCTGTTGTTGGCGGACTCTTCCGGCAATAGCAAAGGATTTTGCAAAGCAGCTTGGTTTGGGCGCCCATACAAAGACTGGCGCACGTCTTTTGCAGCTTGGGAATAGTACTGGGATTCAAATTTAGCCGTGCGGCCAGAGCAACATTAGAGGCTCCAGGAGAAAAAGAAGCTTCTAAGAAATGGCTGTAGTGTATCTTTCGCTGAAATCTGTTGCCCTTTTTTCCTTGCCTTTGCAAAGTCAAAAGGATCCCACCTCCTCGCTGCTTGGCGTCTACCAAGAAGCACTCACCCTTCTTTCGGAAAGTGCTACCGCGAAGCGTCGACCAAATGGTTTGCATCTTGCCATGCTGCCTTCTGGCTGCCTTCACAGTCCGCATGTGCAAAGACAGCATGCTGCGCTCCATGAGGGAACCATGCCGACCAAGGCCTACCTTCCCTTTCATGGAAACAGGCTTGAAACCAAACTTGTTTGCTTCAGATTGGGTCACCTCAGGCTGGCTGACTGGGCACACTTGATTTTGATGGTCATTTCCATCACTCTGCCCAGCACAAACAACAGCCGTGTCATCACCGATGACCAAACTGAGCAAATCGGTCATGCTGCCAGATTTGAACCACACTGGCTATGTTCAAAGTTTGTCGCTTGCAGCATAGCAAACATAAGTGCCAATTTGCCTCCGCATCTCTTGATTACAAAAGAACAAACACGCGACTGGCGAGTGAATCCCGTGGGAAAAGGTACATCAGGCAAATGACATCAAACAGCACACGTGACCAATTGAGCGACATCATCCTTCAGTTCGAGGGCCCACTAAGGCCACAAAAATAATGGTTGACTTTGTTCCTAAAGGTTGAAAAAATACTGGTTGACTTTGCTTCTAAGGACAGAAAATAAAGGTTGACTTTAGGGTTGACTTTCTTCAAAACAAGGCTCTAGTACGCGCTAGTTACGGTCTACTTTGGGAATAGTCAAGGGTTGACTACTTCAGCACCAGCAGTGCCCATATGCCGAGGGATGATTCCTAAAGAAAGGATGTCAGTTACTGATAGAAGCAGCCTATAACATAAATCCTAATACGACTAAGCGAGCTTTCGCTTTCCTACGACGGGGGTCGTCGCTCTCTTTCCAGGTCAATACCCATCTGGATCTAAGGATCTGCTCGGGGTTGAGTTTCTGCCTAAGGATAGGCCTGATTGCGTTGGTTTGCAACCAACACGATAGCTCAAGATCCTTTGCTGCAACAAACAACACTGTTTTTCTTCATGGGACAATTTCTGAAGCTGAACCTCTGCTCTTGCCCGCTTGCCAGCTGTCGCTACATGTGCCATTTGCTCGGGGTTGTCTTCAGATGCCCAGGCTATTAAATCCTTATCGGTAAGGGGAATCTCTAGGGCAAATCCTTCTTCTTCTGTCGGCTGGAGGGTTTCAGCGACGAAGGCAAACCCATCGTCGGCCAGGAGGCATGAGTCTCCTGCCTCGCCGAACATGGCTGTTTCGCATGTCACGAGGTTCGGTGACATATGGTCGATTGGTTCAGCGAAATCGTTTGAAAGGCATTGAATGAGCAGTCCTACTTCAGTCTCCATGAAAGCAGCTTGATCCATCAGTTGTTCTTCATCATTTTCTTCTACCGGAGGGTCTGGATCAAGATCAATGGCTTCTCCCATGACTCGAGTGTCTTCTTCATTCAAAGGCTGGCTTGCCGTTGAAGGCGGGAGTTCTGGCACTTCGAGCGGGATATTCGGGGTAATTTCTCTTTCGGGTTGGGCATCAGGTGTTGGTGGAACTGACAGGCTTGTGCGATGTGGTTGAAGTGACCGAAAACGAGTATCGGCATCTACGGCAGTTCCTCGAGAATTGGCAGGATTATCTGTCAATGGAGTCGGGTTTGCGGATGTTTGATTTTGGTTCCATTCTCTTAGGGACATGGGCCTAAGGTCCTCTGGAGGACATCTGATAACACGGTTTTGGTGACTTAGCCATACAGTGGATTGTCCCTCTTGTTGAATGACACGCGCTGGACTATACCACCGGCCACTTTCACCTCGAGAGACATTCTTTCTACGGAACCAGTACATGACCGACTGTCCTGGATGGAAAGGTCCTCGAACAGGGCAGGATCTTCGCAACAGAGCCCTTCGAATTGCTTGATGGTTATCAGCGTCTAAAAAGGCTATTCGTGCTTCATTTCGTCTAGTTAGAGTTTCATGGAACTTTGACGTTTCTGGGTTGTCATCTTGTAACGTGTGTGCACTCGTGGTTTCATCTCCAGTGAGCGATCCTGGCATTCGAGTCGCCTTGCCAAGGACAATCTGTTCTGGCGAATAGCCCTTGTGTCGAGCCATCTGGTTCTTGGCCACGCAACACGCCGCGAGGGTCCTATCGAAATCTTGGAGATCTCGAATCATGCGGTCTTGGTCCACACGGTGCAACATCTGCTTCAAAACTTGCCCGTCTCTTTCAATGCGACCCTTTTGCCAGGCTTCAGAGGACATGAATGAGGTGATGCTATTTGCTTGGAGAAAATCCATCCACACCTGAGAGGTGAATTCACCTGCAGGATCAGCATACACGTGAGTGGGTGCTCCGGCCCATGACATCCAAAAGTCCTGAAACAGTGAGGTGGTATCTTCTGCGGTACGAGAGGTTGTCCTTTTGGCTAACTGAAAGGTTGAACATTCATCGACACAGTGAATCATATACACTTGGAAACCCGCCCGACCTTTCCAGAAAATGCCGTCTAAACCCACTACGTCATTGAAGTCTTTGGGGTCATGAAGCTTTCCGGGACGTTGATGTTTGACTTGAATGGACTCAAGACATGCATCACATGCGTATTCAAGGGCAGCCTCGATTATCGCAGGGTCAGCCTTCTGTGCAATCAAGTGGGCTTTCAGCTTGATGGGATCTGGATGTCCTAGGTTCTTATGTAGTTTCACAAGTTCTTGTTTTTGAACACTTGAGAGTCTTCTAAAAGCTGGACCATGAATCGGTGTCGGCGGAGGTGCCCAACCTTCGGGAATGGATAGTTGTTTACCTAGTTCTTGTTCTGATTGAGGTACCGCTATATGTCTGTCTGTGTATCGGGGGTCTACTGCTGGCACATCTCGGAACGTTTGCTCTTCATCTGGCGTTCCTGCAGGTGGACGTTCATGTTCATGTGACTCATGCGACCGTGGAGCTCTCTCAGCGAGGCTATCGGATCGACGGCCGAAAGCTGTGAGCGTCAAGCGACTAGGAACGCTGGCACGGATCTTCTGAGCACGAGTGAGGTTCGACCAATTGTCTTCACCCATGTCCAACAGTTTCAGCGTTTGACGATGGAGACACCAGGTATGTCGAACGTCTGCTTCACTAGTTGATGGGGAATCTAACGGGACCTGAAATCTTTCGGTGCCTCGGCAAACAAAAAGATGTGTCCATTGAATCTGTGGATTGATCTCTCGAAATGCAATGAATGTGGGGTCGTCGAGCTGTATCTTTCGGTTCCCTACCCTTGGTGCCAACCTATGAGCGTCCTGAAATATGCGTTTCCAAACATCATGCTGTTCCGGTGGAACCTCATCTCCAAAAGAGAGAACGTCAGGCCTCAGGGTCAGCGTGGATGGGTGAAAGACATCATCAACGCGACGTCTCTTGCTTACCGGTTCTCCCTCGATGTCCTGATGAGCAAAAGCCTTGTTTGGATGATAGTTAACAGGATCATCTACAGTGTCTAGGATCACACGGGCCACTTTGTTGGCAAACCCCTTACAATAGGTTGCACAAAAATTGGATAGTTTGAGGCCTCCCGTTGGTGTTGTATAGGATCCTGCAATCGACACATGTTGATGCGTTTGAGGGCATTTTCTATCATGTAAGTGGCTTTGAACAAACTCGGATGTGGACAGCAGGTGACTTCGTTTCCTAAGAAACAGTTGTGTGTTTGGAATCCTCAGTCCGAATGCACACATGTCCAGGTGAATCGGCAAGGTCAACTTCTGCATGGCTTGTCCGTGGGAAGTGGCAAAGGCATCAGAGCCCAGTGGATGTTCAAAATGAAAATGACGGCCATGTCGACGCTGGTACTGGCACAAATCCAGGCATAGCTTTAGATGTTTTCCTTGATCAAATCTTGATTGCATGACATGTTCAAATGACCGTGTACTGCGATTCAGATTGAATCGGCTCCATCCTCCCCACGGGCCACACTCCGGAGAACACCAGATATGCTCTGGTTGCCAGTGCTCAATCAGTTCCCACAGCTTTCGCTTGCCTGTGAAGGTTGAGAGGTCTCCATCTTGAAATGTGAACCTCCTGGCAGAACCTCCTAACTGACGAATGCTTTCGGTCAAAGGACTGTTTTCAGAAGCATACACCTCTAGCAAATGCAAGCGAGGGCGAGGTCCTGAGAGCACATTGGCTTGCGCATACACGTCATGGACTAAAGCTTCAGCAGCGTCCAGGGATGGAACATCACAGCTCGGAGATTCCTTCTTCAATTCTTCACGCATGTATTGAACATCCCCCTTGAGTTCAGGATTGAACAGCTGATCTAGCTTGGCAACGCTGTGCAACAGACATTGGGCATGTTCCTCAAAAGGCGTCAAGTTCATTGAATCGGAATTCGATTGGCTGATTGTCGCTGCTGGACAGTGCGGAGCCACGTGTTCATCGATCGGACATAGGCCACGTAGTCCTTCTGTTCGGGAGTTAAACTTGCGAACCGCTGAATCAGCCATTGGACATATCCGGGGTCCTCGTTGCGCACCGTGCGGTAATCCTTCCCCTTGTGCTTCTTTCCCCAGCCAATTGGCTTGGTTCCCCACATACCCAACGCTGGAGGCAGGTTGGGCAGCTGATCGGGTTCGGGAATCACGGGCCAGGCCTGCACGTGCTGATCGGTCAGCGGCTGAGAGGTCGCCGTGCCCGGTGTGGACATGCTGGGCATCGGAGTCGAGGATGAAGTTCCCGTTGCACGGACCGTTGACACAGCGGCTGGTGTCATTGTCGGAACGGGTGTCGTGACGGCTTGGACTTGAGCACGCTGCATCAGTTCTTCGGTCACCAACAGTTCCCACGCTGTCTCCGAGGTCTCCGATTGAGCTTGAAGTCCTGGAGCTTGACTCGGTGATGGAGGATTGCGCATTGTTCCAGCTCTTGCCGGACTGGAAGCGCCTCTCTGATTTGGACGCTGTTCTAAAACATCTTCCAACATGGCCCTCTGGCTCTGGAGTTGGCTCTGGAGTTCGATGAGCATGGTCTGGAGTTCGTTGACCGGCATGTCCCCTTCGGCATCGATGGCTGTCGGATTCTCCATGATCTGGAGACTGCAATGCAGAAGCATCGAGAGGACTTGGATTAGGACCTCCGACACCTGTCGAATCCCCTGGGTGATCTCGGCACGTGGCGGCATTCCCGAAAGGACGGGGGTGTGCGCGATCGAGAAACTTCGAAGTCTTGACCTGCTTGCTGCGCTGGGATTCCGACACATTGGATGAAAGACGGCTGAATCCTACAAAATCTGAGGTCTCATGACTCGGAACCTGGTGGCCTGAGGATGGACGACTACACAGTTCAGCTACATTCAGTAGATACAAACCTGACTTGTTCACATCTAAATGCAGCTTCCGTTTTAGACGATGTAAAAGGCAGGTGTCTGAACGAGTGTCCAAGGCTCCACCCAACAGCTTGAAAGCTCTCTTGGAAAAAAGGAAGGGTGTTGAGCCAGGCACAACCTCTATGGTCAACCACAAACGTTTCTGATCTTCTCCAGAGATCAGCGGCAATAGGATGCGGCACTCACTAGTCAGATGTGCACCGTTGCCAAAACGAAACTTCACTTTACTGTCAACGCGTTTGATGGATTCTTGAATTGTGGAATCCAATTCTTGCAAAAACAGTTCCATGTTAGTTGATCCTATCACACATCGTGAGGCTCCGGTGTCTAAGATTGCATGTGAGGCCTGGCGATCGCTCGAAGCGATGAAGCTATTGTCCATCGCGCAGGGCCGGTGTTCTGGCTTCTCTTCATTCCTGGCCGGGCGAGAGTCATGTGACCGAGACGTGTCCGAATCGGATGGCTTTTGGAATCGATGGCAAAATGCCTGCATGTTCTTAATTAATCTTTGATGTTGCTCACTTGAACATTGAATGACGAAGGCAGTGGCTGAATCCCCAAGATTACAACCCCTATCTACCTTACTCCCTTCAACAATGCTCTCGAAATCGGTTGGTCGATCGACACTGGCCTGAGAGGCATCGGAAAACACTTCCAAAACATCTTCAGCTGGATCCGAAAGGCTTTCCAAAAGTGGTGGCATGCCTGAATCAAAAGATGCTTCAGCCAGGTTCGCACTCTCACGGGTCTGAGTGGTGCTTGAGTTGGCACGATTTGGACACTCAGCCCGCCAGTGTCCGCGTTCACCGCAAGCTCGACAATGTGATCTAGCGATCCGTGCCAAGAGCTGTTCACGGTTCTTTGCCTTGCCTCCTCCCTTCGCAGCCTTACCCTTTTTTCCTCCTTTGGAGTAGGGATTTGAACTCGACTGCACTGGCCAGAATCCTCGGGTCTTCCGCTTGTCTTGCAACTTCTGTCTCGCATCAATGTAGGTCACCAATGCATCATGCATCGATGGAGTGTCCTGCAGAAACTCTTCCAATTCCTGTTCGAATTGTTGCACTGCGCAAGCGTCCTCGTCGTTCTGGGCGACTAGTGCTTCAATGTAATCTCCATCAACTTCGTCGTCCAACGCAGTCAAGAAGGTGAGTGCTTCCGTCGATGACGCTGGATGCGAGACCCCTGATTCTGCATCATGGGAGGCAGCAAAAGCCGGTTCGCTATCACATTCTGTCAAATTGACATCATAGACCTTAGTCTTTGAACTCTTGTTGCCCTGCAAATCTTGGAAAAAAGGGCTGCCCAGCAAACGAGAGGCCTTAGTCACCTCAGGATACCTCAACTTGCCACCTTGGTCAAGAACAATCTTCTTGCGGTCATCGGGTGACAATGTCGACTGGCGTAAAAGGACATACGCTCGAATCTCCTCAAGGGTCGTGCCCCTTGCAAGCAGCTCTTCAAAATGCACCTCTGATCTGGCGACATACGAGTCGTGGCTCTCGTCGCTCTTCTGCAGGGTGCCATAGAGGGCTCGCTCAAAAGTTTCATACTGTTCTTCCAACATGGTCATGCCCCAGGATCCACCTAGAGTCTCAACCAGGGTGATGACCCCGTCAACGGAATTGGTCTTCAACTTTTCAGGTGAAATCCTCATGACCTTGTGGAAGGCCGCACCTTCAACCAACAACGCCGCACGGGGCGCTAGCACCTCAAGATGCTCCTTTGGCCAGATGCTGGCAATGAATTTCATCTTTTGAGTGTATTCCTGGACATTCGTCGTTCCAGGAATGAACTTAGGAAGACTGGACCATGGGAGCGACGTGGAACTCGACACGCTGCCCGAGGCCTCCTCGGGAACAGGAATCGACGATGCATCCGCTGGTGGAGGCATTTCAACAAGCCGTCAACAAGGCGTGTCGCCTTCAATGCTCAATGTGTCAATTGCACAACTCAATGCACCCTTTCAAAGTCTAAAGCAACAATGTCAGCCCACCGACAATGCTCGCCTGCAATGAACACTGCACCGATGCTCAATGTACAACACCAAGCAGCAACACGTTCCAGCAATGTACAATGCTCAATGTGATCGACCGACGGTCAACACCAAGCAACCAACAAAGCAACCAATGTCAGCGTTGTATGACAACACGCAACCACGTGATGCAAGATCAAAATTGAAGCTGTCAGGTGAAGTCCGCTCGAAATGCAAGAACTGTCAACCGTGTCCGGTTATCGTCCGTTCGAACGCAAGAGCACGACCGTCACACTGGTCAGCAAAGCCCTGGATCCCACTCTTCGGAGCAACAGGCTCCGCTGCCAATGTGAAATTGGTAGCGGGCCAACCTCAACAACAACAGGTGGAAACCCCGTTTCCAGTGAAGCCCTGCTTCAAGAGGAACACAACCTCAAAGGAATGGACCCTGTCCAAAAGGTTGGAGCACCGCTCCACCGCAGCCCGACCTATGGCTCGCGCTTTTCCTCAAGCGCTATGGCTCCCAGCCCTCCCACCTCGAGCCCCTTCTGGCATCGGTGAGAGTCAAGCGTGACGAGACACCTGGAGATCCTAGGCTGGTGAGTATACACGTTTCACAGGGTACATATTTTAAATGTATATAATGTATAGATCCGTCGGCCTAAGGATCACGCTGTTCCCTGGAAACCAGAGATCCGCGACAAGGATCACGCAGATACTTGTGTGCTGTCAGGATCCCGTATAGATCCTCTCAGGGTCCCGCAGACCCATGTCTGGGGCGGGATCTGGCAGATCGCGCCACAGAGCGTGTCTCCGAGTCCGGATCACGGAGATCCCTGATGTGGGATCACGCAGATCCCACGCAGCTGCTCTCGCGAAACCCATGCGCTCCTTCTGAGATCTCGCGGGTCCCATCTGTCCGCCCAGATCTCCCTCCGTCGAGAATGATCACGCAGATCTTTTCAAGCCCGGAACAGATGTCTCGGATGTTTCTATATATATATTTTTTTATTTAAATATATTATATATTTATATATGTGTATATATATATATATATCGACGAACGAAAGCGACCCAACCAACCGAAGGGCCTCTCTCTGCGTCCAGATGCGAGGCTATATGCAACGCGTGCGTCCCGAACGTCGCCTTACAGAGCCAAAGGGGCAACGGAGAAAGGCGGCGATCACAGAATGTACAAAAACATATATCAACCTCTGAATAAAGATATAGATACACCGTGTATAAATATATATATCAGCTCCAGACCCATATATATATATATATATATAGTATTTACATGATTGTAGCCAGTGCGTCTCATCGAGTGACATCTGTGACCTTTCTTTTGTATACACGCGGCCAAAAGTGGTCTTTTGCTTCAAGGCCTAACGTCAGCCTCTATGCTATCTAAGCAGAAGGCTATAGGTCGCGTAGAACCTCAGCCGTCATATCAAGCTTGCTGCCTTCCATCAAATGCTCAACATACGGCTTGGCAACCCTCAACATGTCTGTCAGATCCTCTACACATCCGGGCAATAAGTATCCCAGTGCCCTCAAGGACTGAGGAGCGACATTCTCACAGAAACCTAGTTCGTGTTCGTGAGGCGGTAACGCTTTGCTGCATGCGATGTAGTAGAGCAGCAGTGGTTGTGTGGCAAAGTGCCGCCCACAAACCTGAAGCACTCTCTGACAAAGCAGGCAGGTCTGCTTTGCTTTGAAATCGTCACCCTGTCGCCAGACATCGAACGACACTCTGTGGTAGAAAGACGCTTGTTTCCGCAATTGGGTCGCCTGGTCCTGTGGATGACACCTGCTGTGGTGTTGGTCAACGATCTCCATGAGGCAGCTTTCAGTCTCCACTACCCCACCGCCTCTCGGTCAGCCCTTCATTGGGCCATTCAAGTAGAAAAACAGGCGCAGATCCAAAACGCTGAGAGAATTGGAAAAAACTGCCTAGGAACTTGTTTGGGCTGCCATCTCCAAGTCTGTGTTGTTGTTGAATTGCTCGGTCAAATCAATCCAAGGCTTGTTGGGCTCTGTTCCACACAAACAGCGGCGGCAAATAGGGCCTCCACGATCACCAACGGTTTTTGAAGCCCTCCCATATAGTACCAGCTCTCTTCCAACCATTCACGTTTCCACTTCCAATCGCCCTTACCGCATATGTACACAAGTCGCAAAGTCCTGCCGGAACATCAGGGCTAGAGATGTTGAGCTCTGCGCATGACATATGCACATATATGCACGGATAGCGGTACACAGTGAACAACTTTTTCTCCTGACCAATTCTTGATACCATCGTAGGCAAATGAATTGGACCGGATAACCTCAGCCAAGATTGTCCATGTTTAGAAAAACAGCTACCGTTTTGTTTTGAGGTAACACACTGGAGTTCATTCCTAGGAACAGCAAAAGGAAATCTGCAGTTTGTGGACCGGTGCTTCACCCCAATGGAGTTCCATGAGAGTACCAACACATTCTTGTTCTTTTTGCCCTGACCTTCATCGCCATGCACCGTAATCCCGATGGCGTTTGCCCGCTCTGATTGCGGTAGCTGGTGGCTTGGATGAGACCTTGGGCGATTGGACGAGTCTAGGTTGTCAGAGGGTGCACTGATGGCGATTTGATCTTGGAGTTTCAATTAAAGCTATCAAGACACGCGCCCCACGGTTCTCCTTTCATCCGCTCCCAAAAATCAATCCAATCTACAGTACCTTTCCTGGGCGTGAAAGGGGGCAGAAAAGCTAAGATTAGCTTGCTAGTTGTGTTCCTTTCACACTTGTAGCAATGCGCACTGCAAAAGAAACAGCAGAGAAATTCGGAAACAAGAGTCAGCAGGTGTGCTGCTCCAGCATCATGAATAGCAGTCAACATCGCTAAAGGGCTCATGACAGGCCATCTTCGGTAAACTATCGGAGACGGCTCAGAGGATTGCTTCTTGGTTTTGTGTTGGGTTTTACATTTTTTCCCTTTCCCTTTTCCTTTTCCTTTACGGTTTCCAATCTTTCTCCGGCTGATGGCCTTGCTCATCTTGGTCGGATCTTTGATCGGAAGCGTCACGAACGAAAGTGGGCATCGTATGATCGCCTGCAACCAATCTTGTGAAGCCCCACACAATTGCTTCCGACCAACATGACTAACAGAACCCTAACAATTTATGCACGAGCTTCTGTTTCTGGCGCACGGGTTTGGGTGGGTGCCACAAGGACGAGTTAACTTAACCCTAGGTATATGTTGACCTAACTGACGTTATGTTATAGTGTAACTGAGGTTATACATTTGTCTAAAACTGCGTAAGCTGCAGTAAGTGTTCGGCAGCACTTAAGCTTAGATACAGTGCACATGCTCTGTTTGTAAGTTTTTTATATCTTCTGAATCGAGATTTTGCAAAAACAACTTATTCTAACTTACTGCGCACTTAAGCATACTTACAAAACCTTGTTTTTTTTTAATGTTTGTTTTTGGTAAAGTATGTTTTTTTGGATGCTTTTCCTTGGTTTTTTGAATAGATTTTGTTTTTTCTGATAAAAGTTGTTTTTTGAATAGATTTTTTGACTCGGTTCATTTTGATGGCTGTATACACGCACTATCATTGAGTATAGTTAATTGTGTCAAAGGAGTTGCGCAGCTCATGTTGGCGGGGTGTCCGCTGTGTAGGAAATCCCTGCCAAGCAGGGTGTTTGCGACAGACTGAAGGATAAACATTACTCATGCAACAACTCTTTCTGGAAAGAATTGTTGCTTTGTACATAGCAAGCTGTGTACAAGCTATCCTGCCAAGCAGGACGCTTCACAGACATTCGCCAGGACAAAGTTAAGACCAGGGCCTGATCTTTACTTTGCTGACTGTCCATTTGTACATAACAAGCTTGTACAGGATCCCTGCCAAGCAGGGTGTGATAATCTCTGTCTTGGAAGGAAAAGCTAAAATGGATGGGGTTGGCTGACATCCTCTGACATCATTCTGACGACGTATGTAGTCAGAATGTAGTCGGGCCTGACTTCGTTCTGATGACGCATGTAGTCAGAATGTAGTCGGGCCTGACTTCGTTCTGATGACGTATGTAGTCAGAATGTAGTCGGGGTGTAGTCAGATGTAGTCGGGTCTTTTTTGGGATGGAGGGTCCAAGTCAATTTTTGAAAAACGGTGTACTTCCTGTGGAGCACAAATATTTACATATGTTAATATATATATATAGTGTATATAGACTCAGACATCTTCCTGTGACAGATTCTTCCTGTGGAGGCGGTGCGTCCGCTGTAGGTCTTGCTGTCTTGTTGAGGGCGGTGTCTCCGCTGTAGGTTCAATTCGGCGGTATACCTCCGCTGTAGGATTGTTGGCGGTTCCTCCGCTGTAGGATTGCTTGTGGCATGTGTAGCAACCAATACTTCAGTCTTGGCATGTGGTATAGAGCGTTCATTCAATAGCAGAAGGTTGAAGACGTGGCGGTGTGCCCGCTGTATACTATAGAAAACAAAGGTTTTCTGACGCCATTCCAAAAATGCGCAAAAATATAGGTTTTTGAAAAATGATAAAAAATTATTGAGACAAAAACCTAGAAAAACTTGAAAAACGTGAAAATCAAAAAAACTTGCAAAAACAAACTTTTCCAAAAACGCTTGTCAAACTTACACTAACTTATAAGTCAACCTATAAATCAGCTTAAATCTCACGAGATAAGTTCACGGTAAGTAGAATATGTATGATTTGTAAACAAAACAACATGAGCTAAGTTAACCCGTCCTTGTGGTGGCCAATTCACAGTCGACGCGACACGAGCCTCGCCGGATCTTGAAAGCGCCTTTTGTAATCTTTCTTCGCAACCCTGCAAACTCTTCCCAGAACTCCCCAGCTTGGCCGCCCACCGGGTACCTGTTCAGCCAAGGATTGTTCAACGAGCGTTGCGGCCTACACTGCT